CATAACTCGACCAAAAATTATTCAACCTAAAAACTTGTGTAATATGCACAAGAATTTGAGCTACTGATTAATACCTTACATACTGATTAATTCCTTACATTTTCAGTGAAATTCTATCAGTGGTATAAGAGGAGTAAAAACTTGAAAATTTAAAATCACCAAAAGGCCATAACTCTGACAAAACTCAATGAACAGAATCATGATGACCCTGAAATCTCTACCTGAATATTAAACTCTCCATGACAAGGAACAAGTTAACAAAAGCAGATATAAAATCTAAATCTAAAACTGATATCACAAAGTTCATATTTGCATCTGAAATAGTGCATGTGCATTGCTTTTGCTATGGGAAAACTACAGTTCCAAAAGCTATGTACATATAAGAATAATCAATGACCCCCTTGGGTGGGGCCAATTCTGACCCCAGGGCTTTTATTTGAATAAAACTTGGTCAACACGGCCTAAGAAGATTTTTTCAAGCTTAATATATAACCTCTAGCTCTTTAGTATCTTTTAAAAGAAGATTTTTTAAGTTTTTACTATAAACAATAAGGAAAATCAATAATCCCTTGGGCGGGGTAAATTTTGATCCCAGGGCTTTTATTTGAACAAACTTGGTAAACACCCACTAGAAAATGTTTCTTGCTAAATATCTTAGCTCTAGCTCTTTGGGTTTTTTAAAAGAAGTTTTTTTAAAGACGTTTCCGGGAGTAGTCACTGCGCACATAAACCGCACATGTCACTTTCCGTTACTTGTTATTTATTTCGTTTTTTTGTGTTGGGTTTAATTAAAGTTGAGTAGTCTTCGGATAAAAAATACAATTATAGCTAAAGTGTTAAAATCAAATATAAATCGCCGTTAAAGATGTCTTTGCGAAAGAGGAGTAAGTCAGGTTCCTTTATTTCAAAGAAACGATCAGAAAGTATTGAAAATATCAAGTTTTTTGCCAAGTTGCATGTACCGGAGAGTGAAAATGATTGCTTAACAGAAGTCAACGCTGATTCGGACGAATCATTTCAGTGTTCTGTTGACAACAATGTGGATGAAATTGGTGTCGATGTGCCATCTTGGAGAGAAGGTCGTAGAATAGTTGAACTAGGATATTTAGCAGACAAGTTAAAGTGCACTGAGTGCAGTGAAAACCTTATTCTAAGTAACATTTCAAGGGAAGTGAGATATGGATAAGGGTCTCTGCTATATATAGACTGTATATGCTGTGATTCTAATTCTGTCGAGACGAGTAAACGTCACCGTGTAAACAAAAAAAGACCGTATTATTGAAAGTGTTTTCAATTATGCACATAAAATTGTGTAAATCCAAACGAAAATATACAAACAAAGTATATTACTGAAAGGAATTTCAGCAGAATTTTCAAACATAAGTTGAAGTGTAAATTATAATCAAAAATTTTGATTCGCTATTTTCTACCAAAACATTTGTGACATCATAATTTGTTGATATTATGTGGCATTTGACTATTTAAAAAAAAAGTATAAAAGCATGTAATGAATAGAAAAAATTGCTTTATATCATATTTCATATTGTTTTTTCTCTCATGAATACAAGTTGTGAACATCTCATTGAAAGATGTAATAATAACTGAAACAAACAAAAATCATGTTTAATTATTTATCTTATATGAAGAATAATAATTAATTTTTTTAAAGAAACATGTAAGACAAGGAAATCTAGTCTTCATGGTGTTGAAAAATTATGGAAAATAGATACATTATAAAATGGCTATTTTTTACATATAAAGGGAGGTAATAAAACTGTTTTGTTTTCTTCCAAAACAAGTATGAAAAGACAGCCACTTCTATTTTTATGCAGTTTTAAGAATGTATTAATTATTTTAAAACTTTACATTCTGTACCCTTTATAATTGCTACAAATCATGAAAATGATCATTTAGCCACATTTTTACTATTAAGGGGAGGTAATAACCTTGCCATTTTACTCAGAAACGAGCATGGTAAGGCATATATATCTTTATATTTTCTGTAAGCATACATAATTAGCTAATTGAATTAGAAATATGGACAAATTCTCTGCGTTAGAATTTATTTTACAGACAAAAATGTCAAAATTTTGTCTGTTTATCAACCCTTCGGTTTAAGTTTTTAGACATAAATTCCATCATTTTTTACCCAAAATGTACTGATATTTTATATCTGTTGTATTTTAAAATGCTCAATAAATATAATTTGAAGAAAAAATCATGACTTTTATGTATATTTCTTGTCTTTTATTACAATTATTGATTATAATTGTCTGAATATCATTTTTTAAAGACATACAGAGTAATGGCCCTTGAAAAAGCGACATTGTGAAAAAACGAGCATGGTGACCCCTATTTTTTAAACCTGATTTTTGTTCTATGTAACCCATAGAACATATGTACAAAAAAAGAAAAAATTCTCTGCGTAGAATCTTACTCCAGGATATGTCTTTAAAGTTTTTACTATATACATATAAGGAAAACCAATGACCCCCTGGGGCCGGGCCAATTTTGACTCCAGGGCTTTTTTATTTGAACAAACTTGGTAGACACTTACAAGAAGATTTTTCATGTCAAATATCTAAGCTCTAGCTCTATGTGTTTTTTTAAAAGAAGATATTTCAAGTTTTTTCCTTTTAGTTTACAATGTTTTACATGGAATTAAATTCTTTGAATAATCTTTAAAAGAGACCACCAAAGGAACATTCCTTTGAAGTTTGGATCAAATTGGCTTAGCAGTTTATGAGGAAATGTCATTTAAAGTAAAGGCTTATGTTTGGACACCGGACTGATGAGAGACGCTGGACAAAAAGTAATCACAAAAGCTCACTATATCACTTTGAGACAGGTGAGCTAGAAAACAAGCAATATTCAATAATTTTACCTTTAAGGTCAAGGTCATTCAAAATGAATTTGCTCTTCATAATGGTCATGTCCTAAGGATTATTGTGTCCCAGACAATCCATTTATAAATAAAAAGTTCTAGGCAATTATAACAACAAGAGCGATCAGTGATCACATGTGTCGCCTCATGATGGCCAATTTCATGTTGGGACAAGTTTTGTGATAGACGGACAGACGGACAGTGCACAACTAGACTTTGTACTGATAATTCCTGTAAAGTTTGGATAAAATTGCACCAGTAGTTTATGAGGAGTAGTCCGGACAAGCTTTTGTGTATCTAGCAACACACAGAAAAAACACCTTTTAATCAAAGGGCCATCACTCAGCCAAGAATCATTCAACCGAACACATATTCAAACTTGACCTAGAAATCATCAAAACAAACTTTCAGACCAATTTCCAGGATACTTGGTTCAATAGAGTAGCAACTAGAGTGTTAACAAGATTTTTCTATTTTTAGCTCCGGTGACCTAGTTTCACATGTGATTTTGACAGTTTGATGATAATTGAGTCGAAAATGTGACCACTAGAATGTTAACAAGGTTTTTCCATATTTGGGCGGTGTGACCTAGTTTTTCATCCAAGATGACCCATGTTCGATCTTGACTTAGAAATCATCAAAACAAACTTTCAGACCAATTAACAGAATATTTGGATCACAACAGATGCCACTAGAGTGTCAACAAGATTTTTCTATTTTTAGCTCCTGTGACCTAGTTTTTCATCCGAGATGACCCATGTTCGACTTATTCCCAGCAATGACCTAGACAAGTTTCCTGACCAAGTTTGATGACAATTGAGTCAAAATTGTGACCACTAGAGTGTTAACAAGGTTTTTCTATTTTTAGCTCCAATGACCTAGTTTTTCATCCGAGATGACCCATGTTCAAACTCATCCGAGCTTTCAACTAGCCAAGCATCTTGACCAAGTTTGATGATGACTGATGCAAAAATGTGACCGCTAGAGTGTTAACAAGATTTTTCTATTTTTAGCTCCGGTGACCTACTTTTTCATCCGAGATGACCGATGTTTGATCTCATCCGAGCTATCACCTAGACAAGCATCTTGACCAAGTTTGATGATGATTGATGCAAAAATGTGACCGCTAGAGTGTTAACAAGGTTTTTCTATTTTTAGCTCTGGTGACCTTCTTTTTCATCCGAGATGAGCCATGTTCGAACTCATCTGAGCTATCAACTAGACAAACATCCTGACCAAGTTTGATGATGATTTATGCAAAAATGTGACCGCTGGAGTGTTAACAAGGTTTTTCTATTTTTAGCTCCAATGACCTACTTTTTCATCCGAGATGACCCATGTTCAAACTCATCTGAGCTATCACCTAGACAAGCATCTTGACCAAGTTTGATAATGATTGATGCAAAAATTTGACTGCTATAGTGTTAACAAGGTTTTTCTATTTATAGCTCTTGTGACCTAGTTTTTCATCCGAGATGACCCATATTCGAACTCATCCGAGCTATTATCTAAACAAGCATCCTGACAAAGTTTGATGATGATTGGGTCAAAAATGTGACCACTAGAGTGTTCACAAGGTTTTTCTATTTTTAGCTCCTGTGACCTAGTTTTTCATCAGAGATGACCCATGTTCGAACTCATCCAAGCAATTGACTAGACAAGCAATCTGATTAAGTTTGATGAAGATTGGTTCAAAAATGTGACCACTAGAGTGTTCACAAGGTTTTTCTATTTTTAGCTCCGGTGACCTACTTTTTCATCCGAGATGACCCATGTTCGAACTCATCCGAGCTATCACCTAGACAAACATCCTGACCAAGTTTGATGATGATTGGGTCAAAAATGTGACCGCTAGAGTGTTCACAAGGTTTTTCTATTTTTAGCTCTTGTGACCTAGTTTTTCATCCGAGATGAGCCATGTTCGAACTCATCCGAGCTTTTAACTAGATAAGCATCCTGACCAAGTTTGATGATGATTGTGGCAAAAATGCGATCGCTAGAGTGTTCACAAGCAATTGTGGACGTACGACGGACGACGGACATTCACCGATCCTAAAAGCTCACCCTGAGCAAGCTCAGGTGAGCTAAAAAGCAATTGGTACTAATATATACATACCCACACATCTGATTTAGAGGAATATGGTATATCCTGGCACAACTCTGGACTAAGGTAACTTGGTGTTCCAACAATAGTCTGTGCAACATCAACAGTGTTCTCAAGTACCTTGGAGATTCCAAAATCACCTGACATATAAAAACATGCTTTGTTGTTGCTGTTTTTCCACTTCACAATGTTAATCTCAAAATGATATTGCAATCTTGACAATGTTAAAGTCATATGGAGTTTTTGACAATGTCAAGAAGATATAGCATTTCAGATAATGTCATTGTAATGATTGTGTTTTTGACAATATCAATGTCATATGATGTTTTAGTCAAACGAGAGGTCATAAGGCATTTTTTGACAATGCCAAACAGTGCTTTTGAAAGGTTCGTATTATAAAGGCATTGCCTGAAAAGGACATTTCAAAATTTCATTTTATTAATATTTAGTTACTCCCATTGTTTTCTCATTTAGGGTGCGCAATGTCTTTAACTTGGTAACCATATGCCACTTTCCTGTAATAACATGAACATGTTACATTGAAAGTTCCATCATCAATGCCATATGAGCACATCTTAGGATGTTTCTAGATCCCAAATTTCAGCACTGTCAAATATAAATGTTGAATACTGCTTGTGGACACTTCTGTCCATGAACAGATTCAATCAAACCAATCCTACAATTTTTTTAATTTTGCTGTTTCTGGCATTCTTTAATAAATGTTTTTCTTTTTATTTCATTGATAAGAATGACGATGCATCAGCTGAACAATACATTACACTAAGAAACTTGTTTCTTAGTGAACTATTTTAGAGGAAACAAATATGTATAAATTTTTTTTTTTCATTTTGTATACTTACCTATTTTGACAACATTTTTCTTTGTGAGGAAGACATTCTCAGCTTTCAAATCTCTGAAACACAAAATTATCATTATAATAGTTCATAGTATTTATTTTTACCCATGATCTGCTGGAAAAGACAGTGATTAAATTTTGCCACTAATATAGAGCCAGGGCAGCAGGCACATCTGTCCAGTTTGACCAGGCTCTATACTGTTGGCAGCTTAATTTTTTTATTTTTGTATTTTGATATTGAAGTCCCTTAAATTTTGAATTTACTATTTGCAAATTATGTAGGTTATGGCAGCACAGAATGGAACAGATTTTATGCATATGTATGAGTTTCAGCACTCTGAATAATGTTATATAAGGAGGATATTTGATCAAAGTACATGACTGTATATTCCACCAAATGAACACAAGATGCAATTGTTTCATGAGTTGCATAGCCTCAAGTGAACATATATGTTGTTCAAAAGTGAAATGCAATTTGAGGATGCAGGTAAGACAGATTTTTAATTCTAATATATTTCCTATAGGGACTCCACTGAGGTTTAAAAGTCTAAAAACATAACATTTGAATTTCTTACATAAATGAGCTGGGGCACTTTAAACAGTAATATATGCAAAGATAGTTAAGAAATATACTTTGAAATAAATTGAAAATCGTATTTTTATGCTTTTTTTAGCCTAATTTGAGTGAAAAGCGTTTAAACGCTTTTCAGTTTGGGTCATTTTTTTACAATTTGAATAATTATTCTGGTAAAACGGTGCACGCGAATGATTTGAAATTTTGCACAAAGATTAGTGGTCTAAACCTACATTAAATGGTACAATTATCTGAAAAAAATATTTTCAGTCCCATCATGTCAAAAAACCTCAGTGGAGTCCCTTTAATAGTTTCACTTATACTGTTTTTTTTGTTTGTTTTTTGTTTGTTTGTGTTTGTTTTTTTACTGGCATGCACCTTTCATTACAATGTTCACATTGAAAATAAATTACATGTACATAAAATATCTTGGATTTTGTTCACAAGTTAGCAAGAAATTAACAAATATTATTGTGATTTCAATAATAATGTACATTTTACTTCTTTAAGTTTAACAAATTCACTATGAAATCATTCAATTTATTATTAACTGTCTATAAAAAAAATCATATTATAAGTAAGTCATTGTACAGGGACCGGGGAACAGGTAGGTACGTTAACAGTGTGCCAAATCTTATTTAGAAGTGCATTTGGAAAATACTATGATTTTTTTCAAACACAGATATATAAATTATTGTCAATATTTTCATGATTTCATAAATGCCTCAATTCCTTACAGATCACTGAAAACTTTAACTGACAACTTTCAGGTTTGTGGTTTGTTTTATTTTGGCATATTCATATAATTAAATGACTTACCTGTGTAACACCTTTTTACTGTGTATGTATTGTACAGCCATGATAATCTGTATAAACCACTGTAAATACAACAAATACAAACATACAATCGGTAAAATATATTTAATAATAGGACTGTCACTGAAAATCATCGATATTCAACTATCAATACAAAATCGATTCACAATTATTGATATAGTTTTAATGCCATTTCTTCATGTCTTGTGAAAATATCACTCCACTTTGTATAAAGGGAAAAAAGTAAATTTTCTCCTTTTTCTTGTCAAGTTTGAACACTGGAATTGATTACAGAGGTTTGTGTAGCCTATAAAGACTCTATGCTGATGGCAGAACTGTGTTTTAACTTTACCTTAATTAAAATGGTGTCTTATATATATTTACCTCCATAATTTGTGTTTCATCAAAATGTCTTGACTTCTGAAAATAAAACAAATTTGGAGTCAGTTACATGTAAAATCGATAATGATATTGCAATTCAAATGAACAGAAAGCTATATGTGCCAAAGGCATGCAATATAAGAATATGTGTATGTATATAGAAAAATTCATGTAGTTTTTATATCTTACTTGACTTCATTCAGTGCTTAATAGTAAAACAAAAGTCTGGATAATGTAGAATTTTTTACGTTTAAAAAGCGTCAATAAATAAAAAACCATCTTTGATTTACCGGCCTTGGACAGTGACCTATTCTTATTCTCTCAAATAAATCTGACAGTTAAGGTTATGCCAATGCCTAAGTGATTACAGTAGCTCTCACATACTTCTTACAAACTGTAACTATATGACCTTACCACAGCAGCTGCCTTGATTTTATCATCCATACTTCCACCATCACAATAATCCTGTATTATATGTAGATACTCAAAGTCTGCATCAAAGAAGGATTCATGATACAGGACAATATGGGGGTGTTTTAACTGTGATAATATCCTGTGAATAAAACAAAACATTTATATCAATAACTTGTAAAGTACTTTGTTTTTATACCTTGTAGAATATATTCTAACATCAATTCTAACACAACCCGCATTTTTTCCTAAACCAAAAGTGTGTCTTATTTTGCTATAAAATCACTGTTTGACGTTCTATATTTAGACATGTGACGAAATCATTATAAACTTGACGTTACCACTAAAAATGTGATAGGCAGACAATAAGTACGGAAACAAATCAGGCGCAATTCACCTTAATATCCGGTATGGCAGTATTCATTTGTTGAGGTCCTGTTAAAATCGAAATAATATATCCAAATCGATGATTTATTGCTTGATAAAGTCACTGTTTGTTGTTCGTTATATCACCCGGGCTACGTCCTCATGATATAATTCTTCGCATCCGAACTCCAAACAGTGATTTTATTGAGCAATAAAATCACAGTTTGGGATATATTATTTCTTAAACAAAAGGTATATATATATGTATTGTGACTCCTTTTGACATTATTCAATTCAATCACAAGAAGTAATATAGGAATAACTCTATTACACCAGTGTAGCAGCCTGCACATCCATGAAATTTCAGTAAACACTGTTCTGTAGGTAACTTATAGTTTGAACTTTTTTATTTCTATACTTTCGCAATTCTTCTAAATGACTGTTTTATAATGTAATCAAAATGAACCAATTACACACATTAAGCATTGTTAAGATAAACACATAAAGTGGTGCAATATTGCCCAAGCTTTTAGATAACATAAAGCCTTAGAGATACATGTATAAAACAAAAAGCAACACATGCATATAGCAAGTCGGACACTACCTGTCAATTGCTGTCTTTTGTAATCTATGGTTTTTTTTAATATTTATACACATCAAACATTTAATCTAAGACAAAACATGCCAATTCAAGTGATAAAATAATAGCTTAAGGGCTAAGCTTCTAAATATTTGAATCATTATAACATCAAATTTAAATGCAAAATAATGTTACACATGAGAAAATGCTGTGGGTACAACAAAACTTGTTGAAACAGGGAAAACTTGATATTAAGTTTGTTGAGACAGGGAAAACTTGATATTAAGTTAACTAAAACAGTCTTATCTCTTGGAACACTTCATGTTTTAGTCAAGCCTATTATAAGTTTGACAAAAATATATAGTCAATAGAAACAACACTGTGAAAAATAGGAACAACACTGTGAAAACATTAGGACATTTTACTTTGCTTCCTTCTGCACAGCCTCTTTAGTTCTGGTCTTCTTTCTTTCATCCAGTTCTATAGTCTTCAAAGCAAACAACCTGCAATAATAACACAGTGATATTCATGTTGTTTGTCAAACATAATGATATTAATATTAAACTTTTATAAAAGCTACTTCTATCAAGACAAGTTCTTTTCATAAATCTAATAAGAACTCAAATGTTTATTTTTACCTAACACATGTCATGTGTATGCTATGTTGATTGAGTTTATAGCTTAGTGCTAAAATCTTTATCATCTGCAAAAAATCTATATCTAAAAAATATATATCTTAACCTTCTGTTATCATCATTTCAAGTATTTAACAAATGTTGGAACATTAGTTTAAACAACATATATCAAGCTTTTCATTATATATTTGCAAATATACTGTGTTACTTTTCCTAAACTTTAAGAGAAGGATCTCTTTCTATACTAGTGTATAATAAGCCCCGCTGTAAAAAGTTAGATCTTAACATTGCATTTTTTATGCCTTACTTTCTGGACTCCTTGTGCCTGACAAGAAAGACAGCACCACATCCACCTTTTCCCAGTTTGTGAACTGTTTCATAGCGTTCCATCGACCTGGCCTGATCTGTACATAATAATATATCAATAAACAGTTTCATGTTCAAAACATGTTTTTTTGTGTTTTTTTACATGGATATGACTTTTATCGAATGTGTAACAAAATTAACTTATATAACTGTTTTATTTATGGGTCAGATTTAACAATTTTTTGAATGTATTATTTATTATTTTAACATTCATTATAAATTATTTGATCAAGTAAAAAATGGAAAAAAGTCTGTTTGAAAATAACAAGTCATAATCAGTATCTTTTATCCGTTATGGATAATGACTTTTATAGAATGCGCAACAAATATGACTTACATCTTTTTTATTTATAGGTCAAATTTAAAGATATTTTTTTGCAATTGTATTATAATAAATTATCAGATCAAGAAAAAAAAACATTAAAAACCTAATAAGTTTAAATATTACAAGTCAAATCCGGTATCTAAAGTCATTTCGCAGATATGATTCATATTAGGTATTAAGTCATACCTATTAAGCCAATAAAGATACCACCCTAAAGATACATGGATTGTTAAAATGACTAAATCTGTAGAATTTTAAAGATTTTTCTATCCACAAATTTACAGTTTTAATATGCATTTAATAATTGAGCCCTTTTAAAAAAAGGAGTAAGAGGTTATATTATCATACAAACATAGGTGGAAAAGACCTTGAAACGCAGCTATAATACATAGAAGATTATGAAATATTCAGACGAAATGCACATATCCGAAAAGAAAGCAACTCATAAACTTTTTTGTTGATTATGAATCTCTAACAGCTTAACAAGAGGTAAAACTACACTTAACCGTCTAAAACATCATCGAAAACTGTTTTGAAGAGTAAATTTACTCTAAACCGATTATAATTGTCATATTTATTTATAGTTTTCATTCTTACAGTGTTTCCTTTTTCGAAGTTTTGTGTACAAAATTATCTGCCCTTGATGCTATGCAAATGTAACGTATTAAAATCCGTATTTACGTAACGTGTAACAACCGGTGATCGGTCTAGGGATAGTCAAACTTGATTCCAGTAGCCTTGATGAATTATATCACAGGAACTTGAAATTCTATCACTATTAATGATAATATCCAAAATATATCCCCTATACAGTATAAATAAACATTTTTTAAACATTTTTAAACAATGTTTATTTATACTGTATAGGGGGTATATTTTGGATATTATCATTAATATTGATAGAATTTTAAGTTCCTGTGATTATATACTGTCTTCAATTTTAAACATTAACATTTTCTTTTTAATTATTGTAATTGAATTTAAAGCCGTGGTGGTGGTGTTGGTGGATTTCACTCTGGATCACGGCAGTAATATACAATAGCCATATTATATAAAGCAATAATTATAGCCGACAATAATTCTAGAACATTTTCCATGAAAATACACTTTTTATTAGTTTACTGTCCAAATATACTGTAGTTTTTATGTAAGTAAGTTTTTCCTTATTTAGAAAGGGCAGTTATATGAGATTATATAACTCTTAAATTAATATATTGGTTTTATAGCTTCTTATGTGCTTATCACCTGTAGCTGGGACAAAAAAAAATCCACAGCATGTAGAAAGAAGCGATGAATATAAAATTGTGTGTCGTACATAAAAGACTGTAAGTCAAGGTTATACGTACATGTACTTTACTTACATTTTTGTAACAAAAATGTAAGTAAAGTTCGTATTACCTTGACTTACATACAAAATACTAAACGAATGTTAAACTTTATCAATTGGCAAAAAAGCAACAAAAGTCAAAGATGGTTCAGACAATTGGCTAATTATATTAACCTTTTGGAAACTATAATACCAGAACTCCTTGAATAAAAAGCTTTCTGAGTCATACTGGTCCTTTAACGTTTACAAAATGAATAATTGGTGCGCCATGCACCGTATCCCTATACAAGGTGACTACCGACTTGTGTTCAATACTGTATACTAATTTGCTTCTTATATGATTTTATGTCCGTTATATCAGCGCAAATCGTATAAAGATGACGGCATTTTTTTCTGTCATTTACGGACTTTCTTATTTTTGTTATTTGAGTTTTAATTTGTTATACTATTTACCAAAACATATTTACAATCATATATGAGCCGCGTCATGACAAAACCAACATAGTGCTGTCCGCTTACCATTTCTATTACAAGTAGAGAAACTGATAGCGGACAGCATGGATCCTGATCAGACTGCGCGGATGCGCAGGCTGGTCTTGATCCATGCTGGTCGCAAACCCATTATGTTGGTTTTGTCGTGACGCGGCTCATATATTTTTTTTCTTCCAAAGACCAAATAACTGCTTGCCATATATTTGATATCTCAATAAATAGTTTCGATATTATTAAGATATATGTTTGAGTCGCCTCATGCAGTGCCAGCCATATGAGGCCGTATCGATCACATGCTTATGTGATGAAGGGGCCCCTTCACTTTTGTTTAATAAATAACGCCAGGTTATGTCTAGATTTAAAATATTCAGACTTATATTGTTCTATACTAATTTAATTTAAAAAAATTCAATTGAGCCTGTCCTGATAATTTAGTTTGCGTAGTAGCAAATGAATCATCACAGTTAAAAAACAATATCTACATATGTAAACTTAATTTACTTTTTTTTTTCGATACATTATACTTTATTTATCGTAGCAATTTTGTATAATCATTTTTTTTTTCAAACGCATGTCATAAGACTATTGAATTTTTCTCTCATTATATTCATAAAATTAGTAAAATATAATGAGGGACTATTGTTGAAATATATATCGAAAATCCTTTTATAAAGTGAAGAATTCGTAATAAAAAGAACAAACGAATCTGCATAATTATGGTAATAATTGATTACATGTAATTTAAATGTTTTCTTCTTACTGGCATTTTAAAGTGAATTCCGCGCATGAAATGAATTTTAGTATATATTTGTTATAGAAATGTACACGTTTTGTTTCTGATTGTGAATTTATTACTTAAAAAACAATCAAAGATTTAATAAGCAGGCGATTTGTGTATAAATCTTTGTAATACTATTAAAGACGCTTCAAATGGAAATAGTTTGTTAAAAAGTATTGAATTACTGTAAAGAGGGAGTGTGTGTGTCGATTTTTATAGATATATCTTTCATAGAAACACAAATATGCATACGATCGTGAAATATATCATATTGCACGTGCTTTTTGGTTGTGCACGTGCTTGGAAAGGTCACACCTACTACAATAACAGATACGGGGTAGATGGTATAAGCTATACTGCAGGTTAGTTTCTTAAATGTCAAAAGCATTCTATATCAAACGTATGTATTGTTCATATCAATAACATGTATCAAATTATTTATATAAAATTCACGAAACACATTCATGTATAGAACATGTTTGAGTTTTTAAGTCATGCTTATCTGAAAAATAATCACACCCACGTAAAAAATAATATAAAATAAACACAAATTAAACAACAATTTTATTATTTTTACATTCATTAATATTACTATGGTTTTTATTATAATATTATACAATAACTGAATATGATTCACTTTGCAAATTATTTCCATTATTCGTTATTACATGCATTTTTATTTGATTTAATGATGAGTTTTCAACTTGCGTTATATTTATCAATAGATGATACGAATATATCTCACCGACGAAATTTCGATTTTGTTTTATAAGAAAAGTATTGGGACTGATAGAATTCATCATCATTCAACGAATTTCATTCCGGACTAAGACTTACTACAAATAATTCCCTTAAATTTTAGTGGAATTTTTCAATATAAAAAAGTTTAATTTTCTGTAAGTAAATTGCTTGTTCACCAACTCTTTTTGGTTGTCACTAATACTGCAATTCTAAATATATTGCAATAATACTAAATACATTGTAACCATATCAAACCATTGCTAATTGTACATGTACGTATTTCGTGATCTGAATAACTTAAAAAAATATCGCTAACACTCCACTAATTTATAAAATACACAAGAGAACACAAAATGACAATTATGAAAACGTAAAATTTGAGGACTTAGTATAAAACACTTTATTTTTACAAAAAAATATGAGTGACGAGTAATTGTAATTTATGCAGCATACATGTTGCATCATTTCAGAGCTGTCTTACTTTAATAGTCATCCGAATTCATAGATGCCAGTACATAAAATACTGGTAACTGATTTTTTTTCTAGGTTTCTATGTTGTGAGTTCATAGTCTTTCGTGAGCAGAATCAATCAAACCGAGTCTGCAATTCTTTTTCAATCATTCAGTTTGCCTATTACTTTAATCGATGTTATCCATAATGAAAAATACGCTAATATTTAGAGGTTATTAAAGTATTTTTTTTTCTTCTAAAAGTAAAGCATTTATTTTCATCGGACGGTATGGACGAGTGACGCCAGTGAAATTTGAGTCTAATTTGTCTGACTCAAATGTACATTAGATATGAGAAAATCACAATTAAAAAGTTAAAAGAAGTTAGTCACATATCTCAGCTAGTATTTCATCTTTGAATTGATTTTTTTCTCTGATAGCTTGCTTACAAGTGTTTTATGTGTGTTTTAAGTATGACTTTGATACCTTTTAAATTGAATTTTATACCTGTGATAACAGTAGTTAAAATACAAATCTACAAATTGTTCATTTTTAAACTTTAATAAAGTTATGTTAGATCTAAACTACTTAACGCGTCGGACTATAAATCTAAGGATTGCTGACCGCGTGGGTAGGGGCAATCCGGTGTTTCCTTTCAGAGCAAATAACTTTACATTCATTGCTAAGTACTGGTTGGTTCCAGGAACGGATTCGAGCTTATAGCTTCCAGGACAATCGAACTAAAATAAATTCGTATAAACTAAATTTATAAATGACATGACATATATAAAAAAAACCTAAAAATAAATCTTAACTGTCACTAATACTGTCACCGTACGATAACTTTTTTTTGTTCCTTTCATAAACTCTTGAGACACATTGATTTTTAAATTTACAATGTCAACATGGTCCTAATTTTCATTGTCAATTCTATCCGAGTAATTTTGTAATTAGTATCTCTATCGTTATATCAATATTCAAATTATAAACAAATTATCAATAACTTCAAAATTTGAAAAGTTGACAAACCATTTATTTACTACATGTTTATCAGACTAACGATAAATTATAACGTTAATGTATTATTGTCATTGAAATAAATAAATAAATAAATAAATAAATAAATAAATAAATAAATAAATGATAAATTGATTGTTAAGTAACATAAAAATAGATAATATTATTCACTGTAAACTTTTTTTCTGTTTATTGTTTTATTATCCTCAAAGTTTTGTCCATTAACCTGTTCCATTTCTTAGTGTTTTTGCCTAGGTTTGAATTTTAAAAAGTCAGTCAAAAGTTTAATGGAGCTCAATGTCAAAATACAAGAAGGCAAAACGGTATTAATAAATTTATGTGTCAATTAATTTGTTCCGTGCTCGGAGCAAGACACATTTTGGCAGTGACCAAACTCCCATAATGACCTTATCAGCTCATTTTACATCCTGGCTTACAAGCAAATAAACGTTTTACATTTTTGAACAAAATAAAGTTTGTTGCCAAGGTAAATACTAAACATGTCTCTATTTACACATTTATCAATTTACAGATGATAGTGACCATGGCCTATATTCTGACACCGATGGATATCTCCCTGATAGTCCCTATACATCTGAAGTTCATTCCGGATGTTCATATGACAAAACAGCTGGACTAATTACGTCATGTTCCGGAAATTCCGTGTATGTATTATCAGTTTTAGCTATTATATTAACCATGCGAAGTGAGCGCTGAAACTAAGCTAGGAATTGTCATTTTAGAACGCCCCCATAACAAAACCAAAAATGAAGAACTAAGTGATCTATTAATTAAAGATTTCTGAACATTGTATTTCTGTAGGAGATCATTTCGAAGGGATGAAATGGAAAATTGTAAAATATTTGCTCTTTTGTTATTTTTTTTGACCATGTTGCATTCCATATTGACCCATCCTTGTATATATGTTTGAATATTACTCAAATGATTTCTTGCTGTTGATCGGGATATCACGTTGGATATATTGTATGATATAAAGTAAAAGCAATCATTTTTTTTCTAAATTTCAGAGTGTTAGCAAACCTTCCCATCCCGAACATCACAGCGGGGACATTCTCGGAGTCAACTACATCAATGTAATTTTTCATTCTCATTGTTAGCAGTGGGAACAATAACAACAACTCTATCTTAGATTGAAAACGTTTAACTGAGGGAAATTAGGTTTGACAGTATTTTTGTCCATGGCTGTAAAAGGACATTTAATATTCCAGACATAAGATTAACATTAAAGTCCATATGGCTGATTTTATTCCGGGCAGTCGGAAATGACATAAATTGCGCTGGATACCAGAAGATAAATATGTTTATTCAGATATAATAACTTAAAATTATATTTTGAAAAAGAGACAACTTTTTAATTCTCTTTACTGTATATAACAATATTATGTTTACATAAAAATGTGACATGTCGCGAAAAATGACACTAATTCAATGTAAACCCCTTATTTCAAGGCCGAACTGTCCAAAGACCTTGTACAATAGTACTTAAGTAAAATTGTGAAGTTTCTGAAATATTTTTTTATTATACATGTAAATGTCACACCTAATAAAGAGTCTGGCAGTCTTTTTATATTTTAGGCAGATTTATATTTTTTCTCAAACATTTTCCAGTATCAACTGTTGGTCAATCACTATTATAACAGACAATCTTTTGAAATGTATAGTCTATTCAGGTCAACTTGACAATGACAAAAATGAGCATAATGTCACTTTAACGTAAAATGATCTGCAAATGTGAAAAAAAGTTGATATTTAAACAAAGATGATGTCTCATTGCTCGCTGTGTCACTTAAAGTGACATTGTGCTCACTTTTCGCTGAGTTAAATAAGTATTAAAATTCAAAAGATAGGCTATTATATTAATGGTGATTTACCAATAATTGATGAAAAATGTAAAAATATAAAACCTACCTGTATAACAACACTCTCAAGGATATTTTTAGAAATTTTCGTTGATCATGTGGATTATTGTTGAAGCTAATATTTTTTTATATATATGTATGCTGTCGACATGCGGAACGTTGCAAAAAATTAAAACAAATGTGAAAAATATTCAGTTGTTAAGCACTAGACTGTACAGTATAATAAATTTTCATGAGAATAATGTGCTAAATATTTTTAAAAAATGATTTATTTTCCTTTTTTGTCAGACAAATTTGGAACTGTGGAAGTTTTACATTGTTCGAAGACAGGACTTTTGAGAATTTAACACAACTTAACTATCTGTAAGTAATAAATGATGTATTTTTTTTTTGTAAAACCTGGCCAAATACTGACATGCAATTACCTAATTGTGCTTAAACATGTCTTTTATTTAATTTTAACTAATACGAAAGTAGATTTTTATAATTTTATTTTATATTTCAATTTATCTCTACATCTTCAGCAAATAAACAAATCAGTTATACAATATTTGCGTAGGAAAGATAAATAAAACATGATAAATGAATATGCAAATGGTCTTTTGTTGTTTATGCTGCATGCTTTTAGTACTTGAATGATATTTAATTAGTCGTATACGGTGTATTATAATTGTCAGAAACATTATCTAAAATACATAAAATGAAATCTAGTAAAATAATTTCTTAGTTTACGATAACAGCTCAGTATATGATATGGAATCAATGCTATGTCTAAAATTGGAATGTATTTTATTATTTATTCAGGAAAGTCCAAGGTACAAGCTTGAATCATATACCAGATCTTTCCAACACAGCGATTGTAACCCTGTAAGTGCGACCACCCCTTTTTATATATATACATCACTCGCATCTTTATGCAGATGCTATTTTTGAATATATACGCGAACAAATTTTATTGTAGTTGATTTACAATGTACACGTTTAATAGAAATATTTAAGTTTATCACACGGACTTGTGCAGCTTTCAGTCTGAACATAACCATTTATCAATTTAAGGGAGTTTTGAGTAGGTAGCGATTACAGCACACCATGATCAGAGCGCACGGATCTTTGACGATATAGTTTCAATACTAAAACAATAATAGTAATTATGATTCTGAATTCATAATAAATTAAGAATAAATTAAGATTACTTAAGATCTGTTGTTTTATTTACAGTAACATAGCAGGGAATAAAGTATCAATTGATACTAATACACACCAGGGCTGGCAGTTTCCGACCACTATTGAACGAATGTAAGTTTTATTATATATTCTTTGAGGATGTAAGTGCATTAATATAATGTTTAGGTATATCGAAAATCTGGTCCATTGTTTGTGATAGTAATAACATCATCACGATGAAAACATTGTTACGCCAATGGTAACAGTACTAATATCATGGGGAAAACACTGTAACGCCAATGGTAACAGTATTATAATATCATGGGGAAAACACTGTAACGCCAATGGTAACAGTATTATAATATCATGGGGAAAACACTGTAACGCCAAGGTTATGAGCAGGGTGATCATTTCAAGATTATTTCTTATCAACTTTTATACCTTTCCTTTATTACAATATGCAACTACGATTTCTTACATCTGAAAAGTATTCAGATCTGACTACCACACGTTTTTAATTCTTGTTTCATGCTTTTATCGTTTGCCTGTTCCATTTGATAAATATTCAACTAACTTCCGTTGCTAGCGGATGGATCTAGAAAATAAACCACGTGGCTAGATATATTTCAAAAAAGTATTACTTCATATGTTCTTAGTCAGATGGTACACTTACAGTAACGATAAGAATAACTCCCATATGACATAGCGGAAATTAACAGTGATAAAAATGTATATATTATTGATTTTGTGCTTCAACCTGGTGTTTCTCAAAAAACTGAAATAGAAAATATGACGGGCTTTTCAGCATTCTATACACATGTATGAATAGTTACTTTACAAATCTTAATTAAATGTAAGAACTTACTTTTCTTTCTTATTCAGATATTAAGATTTATTATTTTGTTTTGTTTTTACAACATTTGTCTGTCATTCAGAGCTCTAATGGACAACCTAATCTATTGGATACCAGATAACATGATTTCTGGACCAAATCTACGAATTGTGTAAGTTTTAAATTTTGTTACCATGTTTATATTTTATTAGAAGGCAGATTTTTTATATTTAATAAACTGATATTTGGTTGGAGGATTCCTTCGTTAGTCTTTAAGATTTGGTGAAGTTTAGGGTCACTTGAATCAATGTTTAATGAATTAATATGGATTTTTCGGCTGAAGGCCGTCTGATTTCAACTTGACTTCAGCTAAAATTAAATGTATAGAAATGAATATAGGCAGAATTTTCATTGGTCATTTTAACACTAACAACCTGTTCGATTGATACTTAAGAAGAGCTTCCGTTATAGGTAGCGGTCTGTTTGATTGCGCGATGGCAAGAAGTGTTGGAAAAAGATATAAATCAGAATAAATATATAAAACACAATAATGATATTTTCTAGATGTTTCTAACAGCTATTTAATAAATACGATATATACGAAATCTCTTCTCGAACTGTGCATAAGACGATTGAAACCAATTTTTTTGCTAATTTACAGTTGCAAAATTCTCGTACAGTATCTACTAATTTTTTGTTTTATTACAAATTCCTATGCAAATCAAATTCCATTTTGATTAAAATCAAATAATGTTTGTAATATTGTTTAAATCTAAGATGACGATTAATGGCGAAAAACATTGAGGGCAAAAATGAACTGAAATAAAACTATTGAGTACGAATAAAATGTTATGTTTACGGTAAGCATGGTTAGTAGTAGCTTATCTTATGCAAGTTTGAATTTGGCCGAGTATTTTTTTAAAGGTACTTCTTGTTACATATTAACTGTTTCAGTCTTTATATTTAAAGAAAATGTCTTTCATTTTTGGTTTGAACATAAATTGAGTGGTCAAAGACGATAATGATTAAATCAATTTTCACATTTTCTTACATTTTCAAATTTAGCATTGTAATATATTGACAAAAGTGTGGTGTCAAAGAGCATTCATCGACTTTACCAACATGTCTTATTTTGTATTTGTAGGAGTTTTGGAAATAACAGATTGACACAAATTCAGCAAAAGATATTTGGCGATACTTCGGCCCTTGTTTACTTGTAAGTACATTTATCTTTAATAATCATTTTGTTCCTGTTTGATTTACCAATGTACATGTTTAACATAGCATTTTTATTTCCCCCCCTGATTTCACTATTTTATTTGGTATCATTTTTGCCTGTAATAGTATCATTTTTGCCTGTGTTAACTATATTATTGTTCAGTTATTACATCAGACTTGATATCAAGTCAAAAAAAGAATGAAACATCTAGTTATGCTGAATTCCGCAATATTAATACACTCATCACAACTTATTGTTAAAGTCGACCAGCTAAATGTGTATGTCTTATGTCACGTGCACACATTTTATGCAACCAATACACATACTGCTTTGTAGAAATCACTGATCTACTGGTTTACATTTTGTTATTTACGCGGGAAATATTTCCTTTCTGCATTTTCCCTTTATTTTTTTTCAATCTTTAATTTCATATTTATGTCCTAATAAAATGGGACACTGGTGATATGATACATAAATTTGTTTATTTAAGCTCTAGTTTGCTGAATGATTTTATACAATGCACTATTTATTGTAAATAAATGCATTCGAGAGAAAATGGCATCATGTATCATTATTTTTATGTATTTTCCATTGAGATAATGTTGAACCGTCTAATTTATATTGTAGAGGTATGGATGGCAACTCGATAGAGAGAATATCGAAAAACAGTATTGCTCCCTTAGCAACAAACAATTTTCTTCATCTGTAAGTATAAAAAAAATAGTTATAACTACTATTACATCTGTCAAATAAATCGTAATAACCATTCTTAATTTTACTATTTTATCATTTTTTTCACCTTGGTACCATAAGCGTCGTATATCGTTTAATATATAAGTACAGAAACATTTTGACTTATTTCCGATAAACAATGCGTGGATATTTTTGTGACATGACATTGTCCATGATTTTGATATATTTCCTTCTTTTTTTCGAAATCATAATATCATTGGGTATTTCATAACTTTGTTATACATTCATTGTATGATTTATGTTATATTTTGTGCAGTTATTCTCCGACAATATATCATTACATTATTTTGCGTATAAATAAGAATTCGTAATTAAATCGTTTACAACTAAAGTGTTATGATAAGTTAATATTTTCTTGTACAGACACAAAACTTTAACACATTTATAAGGAACTATCAAATCAGTACAGTTTGTAGATCGCGCAAACATATAGCAAAGACAATAGTAGCAAAGACAAAGGGATTTATAGCTTCAGTCGCATTGGCGCATATACTAGTATTGAAGTGGTTATAAGTGGATAATAGACTTAATATATAGGATTAAGTCAGATTTGTGGATTTATTTCGCAGTAAATGGTATATCAATTTTGATAAATTGACTGACTGATTGATTTATTGTGTCCATACTAACATCGCCCTTCGGCCTTAGTTATTTTATGAATAATTGGACAAATTTGATTATCGCTCACCTCCCTCTGTCCGGTGGATTCGTCACGCTTGAATGATTTTATACTATAGTGATATTCAAAGCGAAATCTAGAACAAACTATAATAGATCTATATTATAAAGGGATTTCGATCCGGCAATCATAACTGGTTCACAATGGCTCAGACATTAGACAATTCTATATCTGTGTTAATTGATGACGATTTGACCCAGAAACCGAAAGATGACGAGACACAACCACCCCAGGACATGGCTAGTCGGGACTATGTTTCGGATATGAGTAACCAGAGCGTTGCTAAAGATACCGGCGCGGAGAGTGCTGCGCAGTCGCAGTCATTGATATCCGGCGAATCACCAACGTCCGGGATACCGCATACTAAAAAACGCCGCACAGTCAAAGCACTTAAATCAACAAAAGGCAAACAAACAAAAGTGAATCAACAATCACAATCACAAACCACAAAGGAGAATAAAGGCAGAAAACGGCGTTTATCGGCGGATAGTTCCAAATCACAATGCGTGAATGTCAATGAAAATGAAAATGAGTGTGTTGTCAAGGCGATAAATCTACTCGCGAACGAAATGTCAAAAAAATGACAAAAGGAGTGTGTGAACACTCTGAAAGAATGACAAAGATGGAATCTAGTTTTGAGCAGACAATCAAAGAGTGTGTACACAAAACAATGTCTCCCGAAATAGAGAAAGTTAAGAAAGAATTCAATAAAGAAATTCAAAAAGTTAGATCTGAAATGAAATACATGCTCAAAACATCCAACCTTAAAAATAAAACAAGTTCCGAACACGAAATGGAAATAGACCCAACAACTGTCCCTCACGACAAATCACTGGATATTGTTATAAGAAATCTTCCAGAAAGAACGCCCGAAAATACAAAAGAACTCGTTGAAGACATGTTCGAATGAATCTTAGAATCAACGTAGAAAATGCCGAGCGTAAAGCCCCAAAGTCAATGAGAGATACTGGAGTAGTTATGGTGCAATTAGGTTCAGAGGAAGACAAAATGGCAGTTATGAAAACTAAGAAAAGTCTGCGAAACAATAGAAAATACAAAAATGTGTACATTGATGAGTTCAGATCGATTGAAGAAAGAAAAAGAATCTCAAATCTTTAGGCGATCGCAAGCGTTGTAGGTAGAGATAGGTTGTATGTGAAGGGTGATAGGATCTACGCATATGAAAGTGTAAGATCAAATAACTACCGTGAGGATGATTGGCAAGATGTTAGGTACCGTAACCGTCGTCTGACACAACAAGACAGATTAAACGAGCACATAGATTATGGAAGATATTATCGAGGATACGACGAGTCACGTGACAGGAGATCACGCGATACCAATAGTCAGCGAAATGGTAGATTTGGAAGAGATATAAACAATTATGACTCCCGCAGACCAGATGGCTTTTATGATAGATACTAGGTCAGGTGCGGGTTTTGGAACCCGAATAGTTTTAGCAAAGATATGAACTCAGAAAACTATACATTGAGAAAACAGTGTCTTGATTATCTGAAACTAGACATCGTATGCATCGCTGAATCGCATTTAAAGAATAATGACATCTTACATATTGACGGCTATAAATGGTACGGAAATAACCGGAAATCAATACACAAACGAGCACCAAAAGGTAGTGGCGGCGTAGGAATTTTTGTGAAGAAAGCTTTATATGAGAATTATAACATTAATATACTTGACAATGAAACTGAAGATATACTTTGGTTAAATTTGAAAGACAAAATGTCGAATGAAAACATGCGAATATGTGTATGTTATCTTCCTCCGTCCAACTCGACAAGAGCAGTGAATGTAAATGAATTTTTCGACACATTACTAAGCCAAACATATGAATATCAAGATGGTGCTTTATTGACAATTGTAGGTGACTTTAATATTCGTATTGGCGAGCATGAAGACTACATACCCGGAGTTGACAATATTTCCGAACGAGATGTTGTTGATTATTACTCGAGCCAGTACAGTGACGCGCTAATTGATTTTCTTCTTAGCAGTAATATGTGCATATTAAATGGCAGAAACTTTACCCGAAATGATTTTACAAGTGTATCTTCAAAAGGATTGTCGGTAGTCGATTATTGTATCGTGCCATATGAACAATTACACCGCTTCAAAGACATGAAGATTATAAGAACTAGTGATTTGATAAGTGAAGCAGTTGACATCTCAACAATTGAAAATTTTAAAATACCTGACCATTCGGTGCTAACGTGGGAAATAAAATTGAAAGAAAAGATTCACTTAGCAGAACAGTGCAAAATTGAAGAAAAAACAACCTTTGTGAAATACAATAGATCAAATATACCGGACATATTTATGAATGAACACGAAACACATATGAAATTATTAGACACCATTCGCGCTCTTGAACGAGATCAGAATGAACAGAAGTGCATCGACAAATCATACGAAGAGTTTGTTGAAATAATGGATGAACAGATGTAAAAGCACTTAAACCCCAAGACAGTGACTATAAATCCTAAATCTAACAAGAAACGTCGTAAAAAGAAACCATGGTGGAGTGAATACTTAAGTTCGCTTTGGAATAATATGTGCATGAAAGAAAAAATGGGCACTAAATACAAAAATAAGGATAAACGAAAATTATTGAAACAAGAATATGTTCAATCAAGAAAATTATTCGATAAAAATGTGCAGAAAAGAAAAAGGGAATATTGGTATGAAACGCAGGAAAAAATATTAGAATCTAGCAAAAGTAAAAGCTCAAAAGACTTTTGGAAAACGATTGGCAAGGTTGGAATCGCGTCAGAAAGAACAAATACGATTCCTATGGAAATTGAAAGAACTGATGGAACATACAGTACATCGACTCAAGAAGTCCTAAACAAATGGAAAAATGCGTTTAAAGACTTATTTAGTGGCGAAAATCAGCCTACTAACTATTCTCCAAATGAATATTCATTTACAAATACACATTCAAAAAATAATGACCGACAATGTCTTAATGAAGGAATAACAATAACAGAAGTTGAAAATGCTATTAAGTCACTCAACAAAAACAAAGCTGTTGGACACGACAATGTCCCCGCAGAGACCATACGAAATTTGCCCTGCATCGATTTCCTACACAAGCTGTTTTGTGCGTGTTTTGCGTCAGGAAAAATACCAAACGCGTGGACCATTGGTCTTATCACTCCTGTGCTTAAAAACCCATCCGCAGACAAAAGTAATCCAATCAATTATCGCGGAATTACAGTTACCTCAGCAGTATATAAGGCATATTGTTCGGTGTTGAATAATAGGCTCGTTGAATGGTGTGAAAGAAATGAGGTTATATCAGACTCACAAAACGGATTCAGACAAAAAAGGAGTACAATTGATCAATTATCTACCTTAACAAGCATTATCAGTTGTAGGAAAAAAAATGAAGAAATGAACTTTTGTGTGTTACGTCGCTTTCAGTAAAGCCTATGATAAAATCGATAGACAAATATTGTGGAACAAAATAGAAAATATTGGAATCAGAGTAAATATGCTAAACGCGTTTAAATCATTATATAAAAAAATGTGAAATGCGCCTTACGTGTCAATAATTATACCACAGACTGGTTCAACGTTGATATTGGTCTAAAACAGGGATGTCTCCTATCTACGACGGCCTTCAACATATACATAAATGACTTGAGTGTAAAGCTTGATCATATGAATATAGGAATAAAAGTCGATGGAAAAAATATATGTCACCTATTATACGCCGATGATTTGGTCCTTATTGCTGAAAATGAAATAGAACTTCAATCGCTTATGAATGAGCTTGCAAATTGGTGTATTGAGAACAGAATGTGTGTAAACATTGACAAAACTAAAGTCATGCATTTCCGTAATCCATCCATCCAGAAAACAGAGTATAATTTTACCTTAAATGGCAACGAAATAAACTGTGTAGCGCAATATAAATATCTCGGATTGATGCTCAATGAAACTTTAGATTACGCCAAAATAGCAAAATACGTTGCTCAATCAGCTACTCGTGCTCTCGGTCTAATCATCAGTAAATTCAAACTCATGGGTGGAATGCCATATGCAGTTTATACTAAATTATACGACAGTATTGTGTGGCCAGTGATCAGTTACGGAGCAGCAATATGGGGAACCCGAGAATACTCAGCGATAAACGCAGTTCACCATCGTGTCTGCAGATTCTTCCTTGGTGTAGGCAAATATACTCCGAACGACGCAGTTACAGGCGACATGGGATGGCTCCCCCCTCGGATAAGACAATGGCGATCTACACTCGAACATTGGTTTATGTTAAATAATATGCCATCCATAAGACTTAATAATCATGTATTTAAATGGTCATATAGTATACGAAACAAAATGAAAAATTGGTGCTATGATATAGATACAATTACACAAAAGTGTCTTGATAAATCTTTAATATTAAACAAATACTATAGCCAGTATGAGAGATCAAATTTTATGAATTTATCGCAAGACAAACTGTTTCTGGATTTCAAAAATGATTGGTCATCGAGAATAAATTCAACTTCTTGTGTTAGTAGACGAACAAAAGGCAACAAACTAAGACAATATAAACTATTTAAGAAAGAATATAAAACTGAACACTATGTACAGTCTGAAATAATAAAAAGACATTATAGGGCCGCATTATCTAAATTCAGATGTGGAGTTGCTCCTCTAAAAATCGAGACTGGTCGCTATGAAGCTTGACCAATTTATGAGAGAATATATGTTTTTATTCAATAGCATTGAAGATGAGCTACATGTCCTTGTTAAATGTCCACTTTATTCGCAAATAAGAGAGGCGCTTTATATCGACATATGTAAAACTAATGACAGATTTCTAATGTATAGTGATAGTGAGAAATTCATATATTTGCTATCAAATGAAAATATTGTAAAATATTCTGCCAAAGCCTGCTTTGATATATTATGTGTGAGGCGCAATTTATCATATAATGGCTAATTTTTACTCTGTACATATATGTATCATAGTCAAAGTCAGATTAATAGTTAGTATGCGTTTGTTTTATATGTGTAATATAATTTTTATTGCCACCATATATTTCAGCTTTTAACAATATTTTAGTATCTTAATATTGTTTTTAAATGTGTTTTTATTGATGATCATGTTCTTAGTCTCTCATAACTCTTTTAGAGTGGTTTTGTACACGTATTTCTTTTATAACTTTGTTATATTTGTTAATGTATGTACAAAAGTGAGACTTAAATAAACAAATTGACTTGACTTGACTTGACTATAGCCCTTAACCTGCTGAATTTCTTAAATGGGCTTGTACAGCTTCCATTTTTGGAATTGTCCATTATTGAATTTGGGGAAGTGAAGATAAAAATTTAATGATTGCACAGTTGTGCAGCCTGGGAATGTTCTATACTGATGGCAATAACAAATCAAGTTTGGTATCAGCAGTGTCAAGGTGAAAATGGATCTTTTTTAGAGCATCGTTCCTGTTTTTCTGTGCCGACTCGGTACTTACCCGTATTACACTATTAATTCTATAAATATTTTAATGGCGTAAATGTTTAAAATGACATTAAGTGTCACAGTTAATTCTTCATTTTGTCCATACAATAGATGTAGTATCGTAAATTGAACACCTTTAAAGAGCCGATGGTGCTGAAGATGTGCGAAAAGTAGCCGTGTCATTAAATATTTAGGATAGAGTTTGGATATAGAATCGCCTGTCATCAGATATATAAAATAATTTATGTTGCTGATGATGTGCGTTGAGTAGTCGTGTCGTTGAATGTTTAGGTGTTACAAGTTATCATGGATATTATGAATAGATTCGTCTTTCGAAATAAGCATGAATAAGATGTAATATTTTGTTCTTTACTTAAAAATATTGGTAACAAACTAGGTAGACTAATATTAAACTACGTTCATTTTGTCTTCCAGGAACTTGAGTAATAATCAATTGTCTTACATTCAAGGAGGCTCATTTAGTCAATTTCCAACATTGAAAATATTGTAAGTTACATTTCCTATTCAGCTACTTAAAGAAAAGTAATCATGTCACAAAGTATTTAACGAGTTTAGATTTGATAAGGTATGACAGAATGTATTTTGTTTCTATATAATTTGTCGTCAATGCAAACGTTTAAATGTTACAATAATCAAATAATTTTAAAAATATTAATGTAGACTTTAACTTTTCTAGCCATGTAAGGTCTTTAGATATTAAATCAAAATATTTTTTTTATAAAAGAAATATACAATGTAAAATATATCATTTTGTTTTACGGTTGCATTAAACAGGAAACAATGCCAGAAGAACTTATCAAGTGAAAAATCAAAGAATTAGTCATGATTTGTAAAAATATATTCACGTACTACAGTACCTTTATTTTATGTGAGAAAATACTCGTGTAAAGATAATCTTTATGTTTATTTTATCTTCAGAGAACTTCACCAGAATTCACTGAGCACAATTAATGTTAACATCTTCAAAGATTTACCTGCTCTTGTTCATCTGTACGTAAAGGGGTGATACAAATATCGCTTCATACTTATTAATATTAAGCTTATTGTTTTATAGTATAAATTTATCAGTGGAAATTTTGTAATTGTAATTTTGAAAGAACACATAAAACCACTGGTTCATATAATCATAAATATTTATTTACTCTAATAGCTTGCACACCAGTGTTGGTCTTTTACTTAGCTAACATCAATACTTATCGCTAATTAAATTAATATTATAATTCTATATGAGATATTAGGATACTAGTAAAACCCCACCATTCACGCCCATATCTCTCAACCACTTTTTTAATACAAAATGTCCGCCCGCTTAACCTAATAAGGAAAGCATGACATAAGAAATCCAGGTCTGCAGCCGAGGCTTTGATCTCGGACATTGACAGTAATGGTCATTAGTCTCTCACCGCTGTTTCAGAAATCATGTGGTATTAGTAGCCAGTCACATGCGGAGAATTGGTTTTTACGGGTTAGTTATCCAGGAACGCCAATTCGATAGATCAACCGCCGAGGAATAACCAAAGCTTATGTAAAAATCGGCATTAGAACAGAATACAAACAAATGATACAAAGTAGTAACGTGCCCAGTATTTGTTGAATATACAATGCTTGGATTTTTTATAAAAGTGTTTCATTTACTGCAAATCAAGGAGGATTCTAAAATATGCTCATCTTTTTTAAAGTGACCTGCACGCCAACAACATACAACACCTTACAAGTAAAGCAATCGAGAACATTCCATTACTCAAAGAGCTACGACTGCATTCCCAGAACACGCCCCTGGAGTCAATTGCTTACAATGCTTGGTCTGGCATTGATAATCTTATAGAGCTGTGAGTATGTTTCATATAAACCGGTGTTTTCAACTTTACTTTCCTAATTAACTCTCGTTGGCAAAAATAAATGAAAGACCGAACACGAAGGGCAAAAGAAGAAGCGCTATTAAAGGAGCTCCACTGAAGCCAAAATGCCTAAACAAACATAAAATTTAAAATCATGGTGTATATAAAATGATGCACTTGAAATAGAATTATCTGCAAAAGATGATAAGAAATATACTCAAGAGTTAGTTGAAAATCGATTTTGGCTCGATTTTAGCCCGGTTTGAGTCAAAGGCCTTGTAATGCTTTTCATTTTTTGTCATTTTGTACAATTAATCTTGGAAAACGAAATGAGATTTTAATCTCTAAATCTGTACACTAGCTACTACTACTCAAGACCTATATCAAATGTTACATAAGTCTCGAATAAAGGTATTTCAAGTCCCTTCATGTGAAAAAAAACCCCAGTGTAGTCCCTTTAAACTTTCGGTCCAAGTCAATAGAAGGAAATGGTGCAGTTACATTATTTCATAACTTATACATCGTAATATAAATCATAATCATAATATGTATACAATTGATGATTTATATTCAGCAAAGATATTTATTTACAGATTTGTTGGTAGTAACAATTTGGCGACATTTCCACACCAAGTTCTTTCAGAGTCAACTTATCCTAATCTAGTAAAGATGTAAGTTTTGTTCATTTACTTTCTTTGAATTAATCATGATCGTATTTTTGAAGTTTGATTCATTTAGACATGTCACTTTCTGCTATCAAGTAGCTTGGCTAAATCATATGAGCCGTGTCATGACAAAACCAACCTAATGGGTTTGCGATCCGCGCAGTCTGATCAGGATTCATGCTGTTCGCTATCAGTTTCTCTATTTGCTGTAGGGTTTGTAAGCGAACAGCATGGATCCTGATCAGACTGCGCGGATGCGCAGGCTGGTCTGGATCCATGCTGGTCGCAAACTCATAATGTTGGTTTTGTCGTGACGCGGCTCAATATTATAGTTTACTCATATATTGTAAGATTAAAAAATCATACATGTCAAAAGATAAATTAAAATGTGAATGAAAAGTATTCTAGTGAGAATATTGAAACAAGCCAACAAGAAAAAGATCCGATTGGAGGAACTAAAGTACCAAAAACACAACAATTATGTCGTGGTGAAAGATCTTGAAAGATTGAGAAAATAACATAGTTTACTGTATGTTCAGAACGGGGCGATATTTACGTCCTCCACAAGGCATAAAGTGTCGTTTGTACGAACAATTATGCAATTACATATTTTAAAACTAAGTGTGGGATGTAGAAATATTTAGAAATGAAATATCATTAAATAAGTGTCGGATGTAGATGTATTTAAAAAAACGAAATACATGTATTATAAACTAAGATGCATTTATAAAATACAATATAAAATAAAAATTTATAAATATAAAAATTTATGAAAGACCCTGATTTATGTATCGAAAGTAGGTGCATACATACAACAAAATATCATCAAAGCAACCATTCTGATATAACTCCCATGATAATTCTATACTATTTTTGCAATATAGGCATGCCGATAATAATCTAATAACAAACATAACAAAATATGGAGAAGAAGCGTTCCCAGAAAACCAGTATTCTCTACACAGACAAAGACTCACGACGTTTGTACCATTCACAGCCATTCCCGCAACACAATATCTGTAAGTCGCTTTTACATACCCCGAATCTACGTCACATATTAATGATTCTTATTCCCTGCGGTCTGGAGACCGCAGGGTATTGGTACGCGTTTAACTTTTGAGGCATGGAGGAGCACGTGACCTGTTTTCGGTACATGGAGGAGCATGTGATCTGTAAACCGTATATGATTGGTTAATTGACCTTTTCGAAAACCCAGCTAAATACCGTTTGCCGGTACGTTACGGATTTGCCTGTAGGGAATTAGTCCGAATTATACCTAATTGAGAACAAAAATCTATTACGTGATATTTCTAATTTTCTATAATTATTTTACCGTTTAAGGTGGAAAAACTTGAATGATGTCTTTGAAAATTATCAATGTTTCTTCAATATCTATCTCAAATTTTACAAACAATAAATTGTTTATACTGAAAATCTACAAAATTAAAATATTCGTAGTGGCATCTGCCATAATAAATAGAGATATTTTCTGCGTAAACTTGTGTGTGTACTTTATTTATTTTTTGCTCGGAATTATTCATAAAATGGTAGGCCTATTTAATCATTTTCTTAAAAAGAAATAATTGTTTTATGTTCGACCTTCTCCGGTCTTCAACGGTCACATACAGTTTCCAAAGACCTTCTTCTATATTGTTCGATTATTGTCAACTATATTCCTGTTACAAACGTTTATTTATCCCCCCCCCCCCAAATAATGTTGAAAATAGTTAAATGAAATATCTTTATATCATTAAAATGTCCACCGCAGGAAACCATTTTACTTGTTCAAACTTCGCTAGCTTTCTGAGGCTCTGTATTTTGCTACGAGCAGCGGTGGAAAATTAATATCTCGCGAGACCGAAGGTCGAGCGAGATACCATTTTTCTAACGTTGCGAGTAGAAAAAACATAGTCTCAGAAAGCTACTACAACATAATTTTCCTTTTATTATATACCTTTTCGTTTTATTCAGAAAATGAAATGTAGTTGTCAAGAAATAAATTCATGACTTACGGATGAATATGTAATTCTTGCAAATAGGCCACGCCTTTAATAATTTTGGTTCCCGTTTCCAAATGCAACGTTATACAAAGCTAAGATTGGAACCAACGTCAAAAATAGTCCGGCACTACCATATATGGTACCGTATTTGTCAGAAATTTCTATCCGTTGAAGCGTATTTGCGCTTCAATATTTGCGTGTATTTTAGGGAGAAAATTTATAGGTATATAATAAATGCTGTTATTTGATTGGCTAATTTGACCTGTCAATCAAATCAGACAGGAAGTTTAATTAGATTATCTTACCGACTGGTCGATCCTTATTCTCATTTGTTATTTCTTTCTTATTTATAAAATTGATGTTTAGCGACAGCTTATAACTGAAAACATGTCGTTTTATTCATTTATCTTTATTTCTTTATTTATCTAATCTTGAATCAATATTTCATTTACACTTGGCTTGCTATTAAATGATTTTCTTTTTTGTCAGTTTGCTTGAAATTAACTTCTTATTAAACTGACATTGTATGTCAATGTTATTAATTTTGACATTATAAATTCAGTTTCTCTACTTGTAATAGGGACTGTAAGCGAACAGCATGGATCCTGATCAGACTGCGCGGATGCTGGTCGCAAACCCATTATGTTAGTTTTATCATGGCGCGGGTCAAATGAAGTAATTATTAGTGTATGGGACACCATAATCTATTCTTAAGGGGCACACATTAAATTTAAGGTAATTTAAATTTAGGACATTTCTACGAAAAAAAGAAGATTTTCTTATTTATCTGTTGCCTTCAGACCACTGACAAATATCAATTATTAATTTATTGTTCTTAATATATAGAATATTTTGTTTTTAACTATCCAGTTATCTCCACGGCAATTTAATAACAACTATCAACACCACTGATCTATGTGAGTTACAAAGCCTACAAGAACTGTACTTACAGAACAATCTATTACGAGAATCCAAGATGGATGTTGACTGTTTTGCGTGTCTTCCAGTACTTTACAGGCTGTAAGATATCCTTTTCAGCATGTTTGAATAATATTTTATTAACTTTTAATTAGTGCTGAATTCATGGCTTTAATTACATTCAGATGATTGAGAAAAGACACATACTGAACCCTTATATCGTATGATATGTGCATGTGTTGAAGTGAATGCTTGTTCCAAGCTGCGGATCTCAACCCTATATTATTAATCTAAGTACTGTTGACGTGTTTCATAATAATGCAACAGTCTTGGTTAACTACATAATAATGCAACAGTCTTGGTTAACTACGTACGCAGTGAATCAATGCGAAAATTTCCAAGCCTGTACCGTTTATATTATGCTTAATATCGGATACTATTGATAATATCCCATCTGATGAGTTTCCAGTTTAGTATTAAGGAGTTTTTTTTACAAGGCTTCCATTTGTATATTATCATTTTTTACTATCATAGTTTAGCAAGACATAGCATATGTTATTTGGTAAATTTATGTTATAATGGTAACTCTTTTTTGTAAAGACTGCAAATGAGCATTACGAAATAGACAGGTATTGCTAATGTCACAGAGTGAGAAAAATGTGCAACCAGGCCGGTACTCGAACCCGGGACCCTCGGAATATTATTCCGTGGCTCTATCGTCTGAGCTATGCGGTCGCTTACAAAATCTTCTTCCCTATATGGTGACCAATTCTAAACTGTGACACTAAAAAGGGGCATCGCTGATATTTAACAAAATATTCTGTTCTCTATCAATTAATCTTCAATTTCCATACGTCTTTTACGTCTTATACTCACAACAGCAAATGCCATTTCTGTGTGACATATAAAAAGGTTGGCCTTTTAGAAAATCTGGTATTGTTATTTTTATGGTATGTTTTTAGATAATTGATTCCAATACTTTTGTTTTGAAGGTCGAATACTGCTTATTAGTGTTTGAGATGCTTCACTTTCTATGATGTACACACTCAACAAAACCGAGTGTGTGATTTTCAATTATTTTCTTTTGTTTTCATTGCACTAGAGAGGTCTCTATTTCCAGAATCATGCCACAGTAGAGTATTTATATATTGAAAACGTCTCCTTATAATTCAAATTTGTAACTGTCACGCACTTTATCATTTAACCAGCCCTCATAATGTTAAACTACGACTTCTCTTAAATGGACTTTAGCAAGTGCGTTTAAAGCTAACACTCCTTCATGCGTTCAGTGGTAGAGCTATCTTGCGAAGTTTGACCAATTTTAGCCGGTACTTTATAACAGAAGAATGATTTTATTGTAGACAACTAGCAGCTAATTTGATACAGTACGTGCCAGATTGTGTCAAATCTTCAGATGTGCTCCCTTTCATTGGGGTACTTATACTCAATAACAACAAGATTACATTTCTGGAAAGTGGTGCATTCACGAATTTAACCACAGTTACACATCTGTAAGTATATAAACCATTAACTTATACCTGGAAATAGCATAGTTTATTTACAAAAGTGACCACATAATAATATTTAAGTATTTCCAGGTCATAATTGCTAACTGACACCATCGAATTTTTCTTACAATTAAAATATCTTAAGTTTGACTCTCGTCGTCTGCAATGACTACTTATAGGTGTTCTTGCATGTAGTAGAAGTAGTAGTCTTAAATGCTTGCTTAGAGACAAGCCACGTACATCTGCCTGGTTATACCGAAAGCATAGGAGCCGAGTCATGACAAAACCAACGTAATGCGTTTGCAACCAGCATGGATCCAGACCAGCCTGCGCATCTGCGTATTGACATTTAACCCGGTCTTGTCAAATAATACTGGCATTGGGCTGACAAGTGTTAGAAATAGATCTATTTCCATAATGCTGCTTGCATATGAAGCTTCTAGAATCATTAAAATGATTCTAGAAGCTTCATATGCAAGCAGCATCATGGAAATAGATCTATTTCTAACACTTGTCAGCCCAATGCCAGTATTATTTGACAAGACCGGGTTAAATGTCAATGTGTCTTCAGTGTAGCAGCACAAAAAGTGCGACACTGTTTTCACTGCAAAATACACCGTCACCTAAAGAAAACAAAATTGTCTGAATTGTTAAAATCAAGCACACTGACAGACATTGTTAAAAGCGCTTTGACAATTTTACATGCATGTACAGTACCAAAAAAGAAAACAAAACTTTCTTTGATAACTTGTGTTTTTTAAAATACAAAAAAAAAAAAAATAAATAAATAGATAAATAAAAAAAAAGACAAAGTTTGCATTTGAGCATGCTTTTTGTAATTCTTTATAAAAGTTTTTATTCATGTTCAAATTTTGTTTCTATTTAACATATCAGGTACATCACTTACAACAACATCCTTGCCATAGAAAACGATGTGTTTCCAACAAACGTATTCCATTTGTAAGTCTCTAGCTTTTACATTATATTATATTGTGCTTTTATTTTGCTAAAAAATGACAATTTATACTTGTATATAATTGTTCACCTTTTTTAGCATGAGCACTTAAAAACGGCATTTCAAAGTAATAAACCATTTTTCGAATGATCAATTAAGAACACGTAATTAAACGATAAAATTCGCGTCTGATATAATTAAAAAAACCAATTAACATAACTGTGATCGTATGAGTTCATATCCTGTTTTCGCAAGAAAGCTACGGTGATCGAAATTAAAAGGTGATTGTAATTGTCAGACAATTTATGTATGGAATTGTGTGGGCTTGATGGACATGGTAAAGGAATTTAGTTCATCCACTGTGTAAGTGGTACTTGCTCTTATCTTTACTGACCTTCTAAAAGATGAAACTTTGGGTGTATTGCAATGCACCGATGTAAGTTAAAAACATCTAATATTTGATGACAAATGAAATTGTATCATACGAATTATATATATCTTATAAGTGTGCATGTACAAACATCTTATAATGTGAGTAAATATTGACCGTATCATGCTGAAATTTTTCACAAATACAGTAGAGAGACATGGTATGATATTCCAGTTATTTAATTACATAACACACACGTATTCAACACACATGCCCAATAAATGTGACGGTGCGTAAAAAGTAAATGTCGCAACATTATTACATCTGTGATTTTTATTCTAAATCAACGTATGCCTACCTTGGCTTTGAAAGCAACACTGCAGTCTGATTTATCGTTGTAAATATGATTTTGTGGTAGATTTTAGTTTTAAGAAATCTTGGTTCGTTACTAGGCGATTGTCTGAAAATTGCACTCCACAGGGAAGTTCAGGAAGACTGCTGTCACTAACAATATTTTCATTAACGGTTATCCCAGTGTCAATCACCACCAATATGATGAACCTCATACTGAGATTTTATGAATGTCTAAAGAACAACATATGATTGCAGTTTCTACATGATGTCATTTAACAGATACACACATCCAAAGCGCCAACAATCTTTCTTAACATCAACGTAATGGAATATCACCAAAATTTCTAGCTTTACTTAAATGTAATAGAAGATATACGGGGTGAAATGAACATCCTCATAAGAAGTTTCGGTGCAGTGTCACAAACCATCGCCTACAAATATGCGAAAAGTGTCCAATAGTGAATAAATAAACTCCAATATTATGAAAAATATTAGTTCACATCCATACGACAACCCTGCCAGGTTGTAATCAACAGTCAGGACAGGCATACATTATTAGAATAATTTTCAATGATACATCAATTTTGTGACGTTTGCTTATAACACAATATCACGTTTATTCGGCATATTCATCAAATTTGTGTTTCTTATGAAATTTAATAATTGGAATATTATATCATGTCTTTACCTGTATTTATTGAAAATTTCAGCAGGATCTTACCAAAATTGGCACACAAATGATGCCCACTTATAAGATTTGTTAGGTGCATGTGTATATAGCGGAGACTGAAGCATAAAGGGATTTATATGGGGTATTGTATAGAGAAAACCTGAAACGACGAAATCGTAAATGTTGCAGGCTCGGATTGATTGAGCCTGTTACACTTGCAATTTCAACACAATTACTTTATAATTGACGTCACATTATTACAGTTGTAACGCCATTCGCCAAGAATCGCAGTGAAGGGAAGAAAAATCTATTAGATTACTAGATATATATTAACCATTTGAATCCAATTCAATGTAAAATCATGTTTAAGAAATGAAAGATACAAAAACATGTGATCACATTCAACAAAAACATGAACAGCGTTTGCTAACGATTGCAAAGTAATATATAAATCACATGATAAATGCATCATCCATTATAGTCTGTCCCATTAAAAATGGAAATGAACTGCCTGGTATGAATTAACAAAACGACGTTGAATAAAAATTAAAACTTTTTTGTAAACTAAATAAAGTCACCCTCGAGACTTTTAAGGATTTTTCACTAAAGTGTCTAATTTTCTTGTAAAAGCAAAGTTCCATTTCTCTACGGCAAGTCTCTGTTGTTTATTTTCCGTAGCCAATGCCGAAGTTCTTTTCATTTGAAGATGAACGGGGGAGAGCACCTGCAATGTTTCTAAAATGTACATGTTCTCGTGGTCGTTTCATGATTATTTTACAAAGCTGGATCTACAAGATGTAACAAATTCGTTGCAATGCATGATAGAAAATTAAAAAAAGAAAAATAAAAAGCAACAAGAACATCGAGAACACTTTGAGTCTACAAAAAACAACAACAAAAAAAAACAACAACAACAAAAGACAAACAACTTATTGTCCCTTGTTGAACGCTCCAAACCAATCTTATTTTTAATAATATCAAATCACTGTCGGTATTTCTGGACATTTTGTTAAATTATGAGACGGAAAATTAATCTGTGTTTACGAGCTTTAAGTGTATAGGCCTACGTTTGGTTGCTCAAACTAAAAAGCATTTTTATATTCTTATAATTTACATTTTTCCTCGCACGCGAGTCTGTGTTCTCTCATTAGCGAATGAGCTAGTTGAAGTAGACACTGTGCAAACCAATACTGAACAAACAGTGAATCAGTTCCCCTTTTTATATATTTCTTGTCAGATTTGCATGATAATATAATATTTGTTGGCGATTTTTAACGCCAGGTTTCTGTTGTGAAAGTTAAAACCTACGAAAAGTTTTAGCGCACGAACATCGCACCCAAAATAAGAAGGGTAAGATATTTTTGTATCCCATCGGACCTGGTTAATTTAATTATTTTTAAATAGACGTGATACATACTAATGGACAAAATTCAGACAACTACAGAATTATGTAAATTAAACATTAGCGAAGAACCATTTTTTAGTCTTCTAGCTAGTGTTCCGCGTTGCGGTATTCAACATACGCGCTTGATTGAAAAGCTATCTAATCAGATCACTTCATAATATTGCTCTTTTTCTCTTAAAAAGAATATAAAATACATGTGATATCATGGTAATTATATAATTATATAAATCTTTGTGTGTTATAATTTATAAAGCGGTTACTGATATTTCACATCAAATGATTTTAAATTGATTATTTAAAATAATGGTTTGCTAGTAAAATTGCCTTTTTGACACCAACTTTGTTCTCATTTTTCATTTTAATGATAACATTTAGCTATTGATCAGTAAGTAAATAAGAATATTTTTTTATAATTACCGAGTACATTTAACGCTAATTATGTGACGAACCCTAAATGACGTCTGTATGGGCGCCGCCATTTTGAAATGGACGTCACGTCAGGTTACAACGTAAGTCAACGGGGAAAATAATTTTAACATTTTGACCATATTACTGACTTTATGGAAAAAATGAAAAACATGCCTAGAGATATTGGCGTCAGGGTTAACATGACATTAATTTAAATGATTTTACTATTACATGTATATTTAATAAAAAATGGAATATTCAGATTTGTTGGGACAGACTATAGTTATTTGTACACCAAAATGACATCATTGTAGATAAGTGGTTGCTGAAATTTTTATTTGTATCAATTCTTAATAAATAAATAAATAAATAAATAAATATGTAAATTATTATTTTCAGGAGACTGAACAACAACGAATTCCGGATTTTTTCACAAGTAATCCCTTTTCAAAAACCTGAAAACCAAAAATTTTACATTTTTAAACGCTAACCATAGTAACGGAAAATAAAATACATTCCAGACTATGCATTTTATGGGATGTGCATCTTTGGATTTTATTTGTAAGTATAATCATTTTTATTTTTTTTTTAAATCTAAAAGGGAAAACAAAACATACCCTAATATTAAATTTCATTACTTTTATTTGTAATTTCTGTACAAATGGACCCAAACTAATTCAGTGAAATAAATAATTCTTGAATTGCCAAAGTTAGAAAAGTTTTAAAATAATTAAATGCCAACAAAGTATAGAAATGTTTTAAAATGTTAAAAATCTCATTTTTTTTTTAATTTAAATAATATTTTTACCGGGAATTTGCTTTACAAAGGTCCTTTGGCACTTCTCCTTAAACCTTACATTAAATTTTTGTACTTTCAATATAACTTTATAATCAATTTTTTCTGATAAAGTTTACAGAGTTTTTTTTTTATAATGGTATAATTAAATTTTAATTGTATAACTTAAATTATTGTTTTGGAAAAGTCTATAAAACCCCATGGGTGTCAAAAAATTGAACTGTCGAATTATTTTAAAAACGTAAATTTTGATGATTCATAACATTAGAGTCTTTCCATATACAAAAAATGTTTACTCAGTTTTTGGCCTAAGTTTTGAACATTGGTTAGAAAAATATGTTAATTAGCTTATCTACATGCATTACAGATATATAAACAATAACAACATAGCTCAGTTGAAGAAAAACTTCTTTGAAGACGCACCCTTGGAAGGCAATTTTTCTGCCCGCAAACAATGATATCGGGTGGATAGAGGATGGGACATTTGCACATATATCAATCCATGAAACTTTTGTATTGTACCAGTTTCCATATTGTAATTTATAATTTTTCCCGCATTGTTGTATGTTTTTTCTTATTTATTTCATTGTCTTAAAAACGTGTTTTCCATCAATGATATACTTCTTAAAAACGTGTTTTCCATCAATGATATACTTTTGTTTGTTTGTTTGTTTGATTGGGTTTTACGTCCCACCGACACAGTATAGGTCATATGGCGACGTTTCAGCTTTACTTCAGGAGCAAGACCTCAGGTGCCGTTTCATGCATTATTTTAAGCACGAACTGGCACCTGAGTAGAACCACCGACATTCCGTAAGCTAGCTTGATAGCTTCCTCACATGAAAGAATCCAAAGTCCCTGTCGGGATTCGAACCCACAGCGGTGAGGGGCAAGTGGTAAATGATATACTAATTGTGCTTTTAGGTTATTAAAAATTCACTTTTTCATAACTTTGTATGTTTATTAGCTTGCCATTTATCATTAAGGCATACAGCGGATCATTATTAAACTATTCCTATATAGAGCTTAAATATCCTTCTGTGAGATAATTTATTAAAGTATTCCTTGTACCCTGAACTCGCTTTTTTAGCCTAAACATCACTTAAAAACAATGGAAAAATATTTCGCTGCTCTTAAATTAAGACAAAATTATCCTTTTTAACGTCAACTGATTGATTCTTACATTACATCTAAAACAATATTTTATTGCGCAACATTTAAAGAGAGTATAATATATGTAATAATTTTGAAACAAAATTATTTCAGCGATCTGTCAAATAATAAGCTGACTTTATTACCAAATGGAGGTGACTTTCACGACCTTACTGTCACACTCTGGCTGGACCTGTCCAACAATAGAATCAATGTTCTCAAAACAGATAATTTCAAAAACTTAGTTCTTGGAGATTCGTTGTAAGTATATTTGTGTAGTCGGGAAATATTATCAAATGAATATTCAAACATTCAAAAACTATATACAATATAATTCATTTTGTTTTCATAATCTTAAACCCATCGAAAGTTTAACATTTTTATACCTTTAATCCATTAACTTACGACATGGATCAAACTTTATTAAAATCAGGACAAGAAAACGAGATGTTGACAGATCGTTCCTGATCAAAGTTCACCTTCAATGTAACTGATGAAATAAATCAATTTTATATACGAATGGGGTAATAAAATGTTTTATTTTTACCATTTCTAGCGATCTATCTGGGAACCAGATCACAGAAATTGAGAGTTATGCATTCAACGGTTTAACGGCCTCGAATCTTCATCTTACAGACAATCCTTTAAGGAAACTGAATTCGTACTCCTTGCATAACATACAAATTTCAAACAATATAAACATGCAAGGCTTATCTTTTGCAACCATACCAACGATGGCATTTGCTTCGGTAACGGCCGCAAATGTTTACTTAGGTTCTGGTATAATATCAGACATAGAAGAAACTGCATTCAACGATTTCCCAGGTTACAAATCTGTGAGTAGAATACAGTCAGTCTTGTGTTTTTATAAACATCTTACAATACCAGTTATAAATCTTTTTAAGACCAGTTTATAAAAAAATGGCTCAAAAGGTAATTAATTTATATTCCGACTAAAAGTGCTTCTTTTCGGTCTTGATATCGCCTGTCAGAAAAGAGTTTGATTATAGAGATAAGAGGTAACCTGCTTGCTCACAACTTAAATATATATCCATTTAAGATATGAACTATATTTCTAATAATAACAGTAACGTCAGTTTACACCACTCCTTTGAAATTGTGATATTTTTTTTGTTTCAACAGCTATGTAAGAAATATTTTACCATGCCAATACTTTATATTCGTTTTATGTAAACATTTTTAGGGACATTAGTGGCAATCAGTTATCCATCATTGGAAATCCCATATTTGGAGGAACTTCGTACGTATCCGACAATTTCTATTTGAACGGGAACAATATGTACGGTATAAGTTACGACGCATTTGAGAACTGTGGCATGAAAGATATTTATCTCGGAAACAACGCTTTCACATTGTTCCCACAAGTGATTCAAACGAAGCTTTTCGAGATAATGTAAGTATAACTTATTATCCCACATAATGTCCTACATAATGGCTTGCATTAAAATAAAAACCTAACATGTACATTATGTAATACTTTAATGCTCTACTTATATTAATATTTGGAAAAAATGATCCCTCGGAAGCATGAAAAAACAGCAAAATTACATGAAAATTGCAGACTCGGTTTGATTGTGTCTGTACTTGAGGGATAATGAAAAAGTGCAACATCCCTCAAGCCCCCTAGCACCGGCTTGAGCGCTACTCAATTCTTAAAAGTGCTGGACTCAATTATCCCGAATGGCCAGAAGTGAAGAACGGGGCAACTGTAAACCATATTAATATACCTTAACTTAGTTGTTTCATCTATGAAATAATTTCACATTGCATTGAAAATTTAAAAATTGTTATTCTCAACATACTATTCATGTTGAGGTTTTGTACCCATATCGGCCGGTATATCAATGGTATATTGATTTTTGTTGTTATTCTACCTATCTTTCAGTTTGTAGTTTTTTCTTGGCCACATTTAATCCTTCAAGTTAGAATTTTCAAAATACCTGCTTTTTGCTTTTTAAAATCAGAAATTTGGGTTTTCCTGTTCAAAACATGCGGGTGTGTGTTTTTAAAACGTGTTGTTTGCCCTTTTAAAATACGGAAAAAAAAACATTTCCCAAAAACAAGAAAAAACCCCCACTTTAAAACCCAAGGACAAAGAGCCCCATTTTAAAACAGCATGCTTTAAGCTTTTGGAAAAACAGCAGCTTTTTTAAACAAAAGTCAAAAAACAAGAGAAAAAGCACTTTTTAACAGCATTTGTCTAAACACGGATAAACAACGATTCAAAACAAAAGTGTGTCCGTCATGCAAATGAGGGAACGACATAGAATAATCGAATCACAAATACCATACATATCAAATAATCAAAAAAATGAATATACTTGTGTTTGCGCTATTGCCATAGGACTGAAAATTAAAAATGTTTGATGGAACTACCTAAAAAACCATCAAATACGCATTAATGTATACAACGAGTTGTCTATAAATAATAAAGTCTAATAAATGCCTTGCATTTGTTTTGTTTCGAAGAGATTTGACAGATAACGATATAACAGAGATTCCGACAGGCTATCTTGCTGGACAAACTTTTCTTGGAGAACTATATTTGGCTAATAATCAACTAGAATACCTAGAAGATGGTGTGTTTGGTGATTTGGTGGCAATGCGTATTCTGTGAGTTATTTTGTTAACGGCGCTCTTATTATCAGATTGAAACTTTGTTACATTTCTTTCAGATTTGAATGTTATTTTTTTTGCATTATTCTTGTATTAGATAATTATATAAATAATTTTAGAAAATTTGGAGAGTCATGCCTTATTACAAATTAAACAATTAATGTGTTTGTTCATAATAAAAATAATAATAAAAATAAAAAAAATAATTTCGTTATGTACTTCGTTATGTATAATTAATACATTACCTTATATTTTGTTAACACATTTTACAATAAACTCAAATAATCAAATTTATTACATTGCTGTAAATACGTCTATACATAATAAAACTAAATTCTTAATGAACAGGTCAATTACTAGCAACAGCTTGAACACACTACCTGAAGGACTTTTTGTAAACATGACAAATCTGGAGGAGTTGTATTTGTCAAATAACTTGATGACACACTTACATTCTCTTGGTGATAAACAAAACCTCCAAAAAGTCAATGTTGGTAGCAACAATATTGGGACGTTGGCTAATTCAGCCTTTAGTGGTCTAACTAGTCTTGCAGAATTGTAAGTATACTTTTTGATACATGTAAATATTTGTTTAATTTCATTAACAGTAAATGCTAATGCATATAAGGTTGATTGAAAAACAAACTTATGTTTGAAAAATGAGTTAAAAAACCAAATTCACTTAATTTGCTAATGCTTTTTAATCAAGGTAAGAACAATATTGTTTATGTCTACAACTAACATTACTATTTCTTGTGTCATTAAGTCATTTTTTTCTTCAGACAAATATATAATTCTCATAGTGTTATCAATTTGACTGCAGTTGTAGCCTTTTTTCAACGCAATTAATGTACGCATGACTATATATTATTTGACATAACCCACAGCATTTTTATAACCGAAACAGGAACTTGGGAAACAATCCATTAGAATGTTCGTGCCAGATGGTATCAGCACTAGAACCAATTGCTTCAGCTGTGACTTCAGGAACATGTAGTCATAACGACCTAGCTAGTGGTGCCACGTTCGCCGCTGGTTCATCAGATTCACCGAGCTACTTTCTCTCAATTAATAACACTTTCTTCCAATGTAGTGAGTTTGTCTTATTGTTTACGAAGGGAAGAAATAAATATATGATATAGTTTAGTTTAACATACTTATTGCAATGTTTCCTTATCACAACAGTCACATGTATTCTTACTTTTGTCTAAAGTTTAAAAATTTTAAAATCATAAAGTTCAGGATGACTATGCCGATATGGAAACATTTTGCATAAGGTTTGTGAAGTAACATGAAATTCTATTTCTTTTTTCTGTAGGAATGTCATGTAAAAAACTAAAATACAAAGACGCCCCAAAACTCATCTGAACATCTGGTTATATACATGTTTGAAATAAAAAGGAAAATTATATCAATATCCAAACTTGTAAAAGTATATTACCCAAGCACACACAATATTTTACAAAAAGGAAAACATACCATTGCGTTTTTTAACAGCTATACACATCTTCTTTTATTGCAGGTGTGAAAATGGCTTAAAGTAGCGCGTTGTCATCAGACCTGAAAATTCACAATTGACATGGGACCAAGCCTGAATATACTTAATAGTTGAATGACAGTTTAGGTTTTTCCTATACTTGACCGGGACCTGTGTATGAATATTTGATTCCTGAATTTAAGCGAAATAAATTTATATTTTAATAAATAAAAAGAACAAAATTTTCGAAAACAAAGCTTAATTAATCTAATTGAAAACCATGTCCAACATGTCCGGCCCGAAATAAAGGTGAACAATATTGGGCTTAAAAACGGTCCGCTGTGAAATGCACGTTTTTGTGGTTATTAAAAATCCATAGAAATTTTTAAAATTAAGACCAGTGATCGGTGAATTTTTTTGGAGATAATACGGGCACTTTGAATATTGTTGACTAAATTAAATTTTGTACAAGTCAAATATTTTATAAAACGTCCGGCGATCTCTGAGGATTCGGCCGACTGAACAAAATTTATTAATGACAGTGGATTACGGAAGGTACCATTCATGATTTTTAGCAATTTCTTCTGTAAAATTTATCATTTATACTATCAGCAGATGAAATAATCGCATGTTAGTGTCGGAGTGTTGAAAAAAGAAAGAAACGTAATAAAATGTATATACATGTCACATATTTAGATGCTTTAAAGAAAGACATCGAAATATTACAATTAAAATAATGAGTATTTTATTTCTAAACTTTAGGGAGTACTCAGTTATATGCAGCAGTGCCTCTGGAACAACATTAACCGACTTGGTGGCCGACGATGAAGCTGTAAATGGATCTACTTTCATTTAATGTAACATTCGCGGGGGCGGGAGGGAGTGAAACCCGGGAAACGGGCCTAGGGTTTTCTCCGTAAAAACCTACAATAAAAATGGCCCAAAAACAGCGAAAGGTCCCCCCGGGGAAAGTATTCGTCACCTGGTGGAACGGGTTTTAAGAAACTTAATCTCGACTTTTAAAAAGATCATTTTTGACTGTTTGATTTTTTTTTGGAGGGTTTTTTAAAAGGGGTCGTCTCAGTTGTGGGGGTTTAAAATTTTTTTTCAATTAAAAATAAACCCAATCAAAAGTATCATTTACGTTAATATTTTCGGTTAAAATTTAAATTTCGGACAAGGGGTTTTGTAAAATTCAGTATGGGTTTAAATTAATTGGGAAATCTTCTTTTTTTCAGGGACAATTAAAACCACTGGCCCAAAATTGATTAGAAAATTTTTTGGCAAATTTTTTACGATTTTGGGTCTTCGCAGACTTTGATGAACTTAAAAATATATCACAATTTCCAATCCAAGCTACGTCGATAGTCCATATGGGGCGTGGCTTTCTGCATCAAGCACACCCACTACTGATACGTTTTCAACATGGTATAAGAGAAGATGATGTGAATAATGATAATATTGAAATAAATGGGTCTCATCATTCTAGAGAGAACAAACAGGGACAATTAAAAGTTAACAATTTTGTTGAAATAATATACATACTTGATTTATAAATCGCAATCTTTATTTTCGTATAGCATTTAATAGTATTATTAATTTATGACACACTAAACATAGCACTCTAAATATCTTAAGTTGTTCTTTCTTATAAACATTTAACAATAAGGAAATGTTTTAGTAAGCCATTTTGGAATAATTTAAATGATTTATCTGGTAATCTTATCAAATAGTTTGCATGGCAAAATGTTAGCATTTTTTCTTGCATATAAGTAAAGTTTAGTTTGATGCACTTTTTAAAATAAGGGGGTTGTGTTAATGTTAAAAATTATTATAAAAATTAAATGAAAATTAAAACAACGTGAAACAGAACAAATTTTTTTAGAGCCGGGGGGGAAAAAATTTTAAATAAATTTAAAGGTTTTATTGGATCCATTTTTTTCCCAGCAAAAGGGTCGGGTTTTTTTCCTGTCTTCAATCTAAAACAATTTTGGTAAGGCCCTTTCTAACTTTGGGAAATTTTGTTAGCAGTTTTTAAACCAGTATCTTTAATTTCCCAACTCCTTTGTTCCCAATCCCTATCCGGTTTAATTTTGGTTTAATCCGTTGCATCCGACCAAAAAACGGGCCCCGGAAAAAAGCAAAAATTTTTGGGAAAATATTTTTTAAAACCCGGAAAATATGGATGAGGCGCCCTCAAATTAATTACGTTGTTTTGATTCTTATAATTTCTTTCTTTCTTAAGGTATCTATTTTAAATTTCAAGTATATGCTCCTTTTCATCACTCAATGAGAAAATTTAATACTCTAGCTTGGCTGTTTTCAGAATTATGTCCCCTTTGAACTTAGATTTTAACTCAAACTTTATTCTTTAAAGGATTTACTTCAAACTCTCACTTAATAATAATTTGACAAAGCTGTAAATCTAGTGTCTATATTTCCAGTTTTATCTCCCCCTTAAACATTGAATGTTCCTACTTTGTTCTATAAGTTTCTTATTTCATCGTGGATTTATTTAAAATTTAAAAAATTTATTTTTCCATTTTTCAACCCCTAGTAAATATGGTACTTTTTTGTCTGGGCCCCGGGTTTTTCAATGATTTTTTTCATTTTTTAAAATTTTTAACTTTTTTTGGGGACAATTGTTTTTTATTTTTAAAAAAATTTTTTTCTTTTTTTCCCTTTTAATGTATACATTGAAATTTTGGAAAATTGTTATTTGTAAATTTTTTTCTTTGTTCTGTAAATGAAATTACTTTTTTTTAATAATAATTTTTCTTTGCCCAAATCAAACATGATGACAAGGGTAAAAAATTTTTCTCCTCTTTTATTTTAATCTTTAAAAATGTTTATTTTTTTTGGGACCAGGGATGTTTAAAGTATTACCTTCTGTTTGTAAATGATATCACTATCCGGCTTGGGATGAATGTTTTTATTTTTGTTAATTTTTACGGGTCTTTATAACGGTGGACCAGTTATTCTGCCAGCGGCTCTTTATAAATGTTCTTCCTATATTGGTTGTTCCTTCCTATTTTTAAATTCTTATATGACAAATTAGAAAGACTTTTTACCCCGGTAAATTTACAGATTCACGACTGGCGGTACGAACAGGGAAATTGTTTTTGCAGGAACAGAGAAAAATAACGTTTAGTGGTGGAGAAGCCTTTGGTTTCTCACATTTAATAAAAATAGGATGTTTGAAGTTTATATTGTGGATCCTCCAAACCATTTCCCATGCTATGGTTATCAAGCCCTAATGCTCTG